GACCCGCTGCGGATCATATCCGCAAGACGACCTGCGGAGTGGCAGTTGGGGGGCGGTTGGGGGGCGGTTGGGGGGCGGTTGGGGGTGGTACCAGTGCCGTTCGGGGTTCGGGGTTGGGGTCGGGAAACTACACACAACACCACGACGTCGGAGGACACCCCCCGGGGTAATGACAACGGTCTAGGGGGGATCACCCCCGTCATCTCGCTGACGCCCGCAACCCCTCTCCCCCTCTCCCTAGTCCCCACAGCCATGTGCCGTACACATACACATACACACACACGCACTCACCCGGTGTACCCACCACCACCAGCGGCCCGGGCACCAGAGCCAGAGCCTCCGCCTGGCGCTTGGGGTTGGCTCCCCCGATGACCTGCTGTACGGCGTACCGCCGTACATTGTCCGGCATCAGGGATTTGGCCACCCTCACTATCTGCATCGCCAGCTCTTGCGAGGGCGCCACCACCAGCACCTGCCCGGGCGGGGGGGGGGTTGAGAAGGGGGCGACCGTATGCGCTCATACCGGGAGCCGAGCCGGGAGGGTAGGACAGCTGTACTGGGGCGTGCTGCGTGGTATTGGTTGTAGATGTGGTATTGGTTGAGAGGACGGGAACAAGGTCTACATGGAGGGCTGTCCTAGGGGGGTCACGGGGCTTCCCGAGGCGAGGGGGTGATGGCGGGGTAACGGGTTATTAACCCGCACGCATGCCCGTCGTACAGTGCACATACGACCCTGCACATGCACTTAAGGAAAGCACACCCACCCACCATCCCGCACCACCCATCACGCACGCACACCATACACACGCACACGAACACACGCACACACACGCACACGAACACTCGTACCTGTACGGGTACATCCGGAACGTTCCCTCGACGGGGTGTGGTGGGGTCCGCAGCGAGCCTCTCCGCGCGGCGCAGCGCCAGTGTCAGCGCCGGCAACAAGTACGACAGAGTCTGAGGGGTGTACGATTTAGGGGCAAGCGACACAGACACCGCCCAGGAGCGCCGGTTGGGGGGAAGACTGGTGTGTGTGTGTGTATGGGTTGTCTATGACCTTCCAGGCCCCAGCCTCCAATGAGCGGCCCCTCCCCAGCCCCCGACCCCCGACCCGACCCCACTACCACGACACGCCATGCGAATGCACATTCTTTCCGGCCTCCCCGGCCCCGAGCCCCCCGCCCCCAACCCTATTTGCCTTCGTCCGGCGTCGCCTGGCCAGAACGTCCATCTATCTGTCAGTCTGTCTGACCATCTGTCTGTCTGTAGTTTGCTGGTTTGTCATCGTAACACCCACCCACCCACTCCCACTCGCACTCCCACCTTCCCCGAGCCAGTGTAGCTCTGAATGGCGCAGTTTGCGCCGGACAGTACGGCAGGCAGTGCAGCCGCCTGGATGGGAGAGGGGCGCGTCACGTCTAGGGAGGGAAGGGCCTCCTGTGGGGAGCAAGGGAAAGAAAGTTGGCGGGGAGGGGGGTGTCAGGCGAGGTAGAAAACACACCGTGTGGGGCGTGGGTGGGTCAAATGCTGGCGGCCATAACGCTGCGAGGTTCTTAGGACCGCTGAGGTGCTGTCACTGCTGCTGCGGCGGTGGCAGTTGTTATGGCAGTGGGAGGGGGACGAGCAGTTTGAGTTTGCTGAGGTCGAAGGGGGGAAGGGGGGAAATGAGAGGATGCCAGCGCGGGGGGGGAGGCAGGGCAAAGCTGCTGGGTGCATACAGAAAGGGAAGCGATGTTTCCCCTGGTGGTTGGAAGGACAGCCTTAGGGAATGAGGGCGGGGTTGAGAGCGGCGCTATAGGCACACGCATAATTATCCGCCAGGACCGGTTATAGGCGGAAATTTTGAGGCCCCCATATGCATGCATAAAAAATGTGTTTTACCGCAAGCATTGGGTCGACGCCGAGGGCGAGGAATGCCGACGGTGCCGTTGGCGGACCTGATGAACCAGAAACAGAAGATTGGCTCGAGGCCAATTGAATAACCGCATCTGAAGATGCGGCATTTTCTGGCGGCGACGCCACCGCCGCTGCAAAGGTAGTTGGTCTACGCAGTCTACAGTGCAATCGAGTGGCGGCTTTTACTCTACGTAAATGAAAAATAGGTGCTGAACATTTGTGAAAGACCGTTGCCATTTTCACGTGTATGCAGGAAACGGGAAAAGCCGGTCGAAGTGATAATTACAGAAACAAAAACGGAAGTTTTCCCATATAATTTGTCCTCGGCCGAACTGTAGTGACAACGAGCAAGCTGTTAGCCTTGAAAGAAGTCCTTGCCGCGACACCTCGTTTCGACGACCTGTACGGCCGGACGTCGCAACATGTCCCATAACTGCTTGATGATCCAAGTGCTTGTTACAAGTAGTCTTTTACTTTCCTTAATGTTTAGATTCTTTCCCAATGCTGCTTAACGTGCTTGCATAAAGCCAATCAGTCACTTCAACAGTTGGTTGACCATGGAAACTCACGCAATGTGCAGCCTGTTTGTTACTCTATTGCTTCTGATGACACATTTTATTAGTGGCGAACAGCGTGCTCACTGCAGGACATTGTATCCACCGTATGCATTTACCGCCGAAGAAGCGCAATACGTGTCCGACCCTTACGCAGAGGGCACATGGGAAGGCAGGATGCTTGCCAGCAAGCATGCTAATGGCGAGGATAGCCTTGAAATGCTCCAGCTTTCTATTAATCCGGGCCATGGATGGCCTCCACACCGCCATTTCGAGGCCGACGAGTGGTTGTATGTGTTGAGCGGCTCTGGTGCATATTCATACTGGGCATTCGAGGAGATATCACCCGTTGAGATTATCGTAGGACCGGGTGAGACTTGCACGAAATGTGCAGTAGGTTGCAGTCAACTTCTTAACCGCCTAAGTCGTTGCCCATCCGGCTGAGCGACATGTCTCGTGGCCTAAGGCCATGGAAAGAGATCGCCGTACTCTGCGCCTTAAGAAAGCAGTTTCCTGCGAGGGGGATGCATCCTCCCAGCTCATGCCGCTACGAACCCGCTCCCTCTCCCCCTTGGCAGGTCATGCGCTGTTTAACCCCCAGGGCCAATTACACCAGGTGGGGAGTTGGCTGGGTGGGGGGTGGGGGAGAGGGGCCCGAGCCCCCACCCTGGGCTGCAGTATCTCACAGCATATCTGTGTATGTTGGTGGATACGTTGGTAAGCCTACAATGTGTGTATGTGTGTGTGCCTATGTGTGCACACGCCTTGTGCGCGTGTGCATGCATACCAGGTGCACCACCCAGGTGGTTCCGCAAATGCACGCGGAAAGAACTCAACATGTGTAGATGTGTGGCATTCACATGCATTCACGCCCTCGCAGCACTCGCACTTGCACTCGCTACATTCTCCCCACAACCCACCCCCCCTTAGGTGTGGAACAACGGCAGTGAGCCGTTGTTGCTGCTGGCGGTGTCCAAGTCGCTGGCGCCTTACGAGGTGCTCGACCACTGGCCCGACACCCCGGGCGGCGGCTTGGGCTACGTACCCCACGTGGCCCCCTGGGAGCTATCCTGTGCCCCGGGACATGAACCCGACGAAAATGATGGTGTCATGGGCGAGCAGGTTGGCAGTGGCATGGAGGAAGCGGAAGTGGGTTACCTGGAGGGGACACCTCTGGAGGAGAGCGAGGCGGGCAGCGGCCTCGAGGGCGATTACGGGCACTTCGGGGAATACGGGTCGTGCGGCATGACGGCCATGAGCGAAGGCGAAATCGCGGAGTGCATGGCAGAGCCGGATATGGGCTATGACTTTGAGGAGGAGTACGATGTGGGAATGTACGATGGGGAGGGCGCAGATGAGGAGCCGGAGTTTCCGTCGGACGGAGAAGCCGCCGTCAACACCGCCGCCGCCGAGGTTGAGGATACAGCACCAGGTCATTACGAGTTTGGTGAGCTGTAGAACGGGGGCTGGTTGGCAGGGGCCCCAGGTCCTGGGTTGGGTAGTAGGCTGGTCCTGGGGGTTTACTGTTGGTGGCGGCAATGACATGTGGGGTTGGCTGCTGTGCAGAGCTAGTGCATGAAGAGTGCATGTTTGCTTGATGATGTGAGAGAGGAAAAAGATCGATGGGGGAGTGCCTTTATGGGCCGTGTCCTGTGCTCCCTCCCGGCCCCCGCTACCACTGTGCCCTTGCGCGCGCATATGTATACGATGACAGGTAGGTCTGCAGTTGTCTGTAGTTGTTGTACCACTAGTGCTTTACAGAGTTGAGGTGTACCATACACACCTCCCATTCACGGCTTGACTTAGTGACGAAGTTGTAGCCTTAGGCGTGACCTCTACTACTACCACCACCACCATTAGTACATCCTCTCGGTAAAAGCTGCATCTCATCTGCACAAAGCTGGACGCCAAGGGGCTCGAGGACATTAGCACGACACCAGACGACGGGTACAGAAAAAAAACGCGCTTCATTGCCTTGATACTCATCGGCGGTTTTGAGCTTTGGACGCCGCCTTCCGGCAGTTCATCCGAGCTTGCTTAAATGTGATCCCCCCAAAGCATTACTTTGCATCAATGCATGCATTCATGCATACGCGTCCACACATGGCAGGCGATGGCCAGGTGTAGCAGTTATTCATGCTGGGCAGGATGAGTTTTGTGCGTGTTGGGAGGTGGTTGGAGGGGGTACTTGGGTTGTTGATGCAAGGACAGGGTGCCCGGGTACCTATATAGGTTCTCGGGCCTGTTGTACTGGAGTACGGCGTGGTCAGGGCAGATAGGCGTAAAAGTAACTCTGTCATCGCGCACATCTGGTGTTGTACTGTAAGGCTGGTATCCGTCGAACCAGGCACCGTGCGTGCCCTGTATCCGTCGATGCAGATGCCGTGTGCGCCTGAGGCCTTTATTTATGCCTAAATGCGGATGAATGCATTCGCATGTGCACCATCTCCCTTTTCCGGCCCTCATAATCCCTAACCTCGGTAGCCAAGGAAGTCGACCCAAATTGTTATACACGGATACTTACGAATAGTCTCCTCTGATGACAAGGCAGCGGTCGTACATGACTTAGGCCGTATAAGATGCGACCGCGTGGTGACGGTGGCGACGAACGCCGGGATGAAGACAAAAACACCGACAGCGTGATGATGATGAAGCCTCAAAACGAGCGCCGTCAATACAGGCGCCGCGCAACACGAGCGCCGTGTGCGTCGCAAAGTGGTGCCGCTCAGCCGCCAGCACCATTTGAGTTGCATGCATCATGATAATTAAGAGATGCACCGCAGCACTGCACCGTTGTTGAGCCGAAGCTGATTTTGCCTATTTCCTCTCTTCCGTTACTACTGCGCTACCGTACAGCGAAGACAAGTAATCTTCAATTAAATTACAACGCCATGTCAAAAATCTATCACGCATGTACGTACGATGAAGTACGGCACCAAGTACGGCACTAGCCCTACCCAAGATGCCAGTACCACATATGCACATACGTACGTACACCTCCAGCTTTCATCATGTGACGTTGACTTACCGGAGTTCTGTTCGCGGCCTCCAGCACCGGAGGGTCCCACAAACCAAACCGAAGAACCACGGTGGCCAGCGGTCCAGCGGATAACACCTTTCCGGAGTGTACCGATATTCCCACTAGGGGTAGAGTACAGTCTTTGGCAACAAACAATGGCCGACAAGGTCCAATCGGAGCAAGCACATCGGGGTCCCTGAACTGTCAAGAGACAATCTTCTTACAAAAAAACAGGGGCGACTTCTAAAATGGCTGTATGCGGTTTCTAGCGTCAGAACATCGCGTTACGGCGCTCAGCAGCGCCGTGAACATAACGCGTAGCAGGATGGCGGATGCAGCGTTTGTAACATCGGATGCCGCACAAGAATCACACGTCAGGAGATCCCCTGCGGCCGCAAGCGCAATAACAAGGGGGCGGGTATTCACATGTCAAGCACCTCCGCGCGTACGACACCATCAACTCCATCCGCGACTCCTTAGAAATGAAACATGGTCCACGAACCGCGCGTGCGTATGCGTACACACGAACGATGTTAACTTTATATTATAAACATAAGAAAACACATAATAAAGTTTCGAATGCATGTATGTAATATAGTATACAATAAATAGTATACAATAAATGTCAGCACTGTAACGCATGCTGCCAGCCGCGTTAAAGAAAATTCTACTTCTCGTCGCCGAAACTGTCGTACTTAATCAACCCGTGGGCGTGCTGGGCCAACAGGTGAGCCCAAGCGACGCATGCACAACTGGGCAGCCGCCGTACTCGTACTGCAATATACGACACGTGACCCTGTACTACTAGGTAAGTACGGCGAGCCCCACTCTCCGGACACGCGAACTGCCTAATCAGGCTATGTGAGGTGCAAAGTGCGCTTGGGGTCTCACAACCAAATGGCACAAAAGTGGCCATGCGCCAAAATTATCATATGTCAGAAAAATGGCAGTGGCGCCAACTAATCGCGGTGGCGTGCAGACAGCCACCGGCACATAGCCCTCTTTCCATCTCCTAGTGCTGAGCTCATAGGCTCAAAAGAACTTAGCAAACGATCGCTGCTGGCTCACCAATGAAATGAAATTCCCTCAGTGAGCCTATTTCTGACTTCGCAAGGTGGAGAGTTGGGGAATGAAGGAGGAGACTTGGCCACCCTGGAGCTGCCCCACAAGGCCCTTCACCCAAGGGTGAGCCCACACGGCTGGTAAGATACATGCCGACGCAAGCAACGCAACCCCCCCCACCTGTTTGTGGCATCGGTGGATGATAGGAAAGGTTGACTTGCAGGACCTTATTCGAGGCCCCGCCCTCCTCCTGCCCTCAGCAAGCAAACACCCGGGACTTTGGCGACGACGCCACTCTCATGCTCTGACTCGCCACTGCCTTCGGTATACTATACCCTTCGCAATCTTGCGAGATATTATCAATTCAAAAAAGTTTGAGTAACCACCAGGAAAGCACAAACACGGGTTCGGTCGTGGAAAAGAGCCGCTGCCGCAGCGTGCGGTGCAAAATAGCGGCCACACGACAGCCTAAACGTATCAGCCTACCCGGCAGCACGGCGATGCGCAACAATTGAGCATCATCCCGCTTTGTTGCACTGAAAAGGATAATTCTGCAACCCGTCGATGTGTGCAACCGTTACCTTCAGCTACAAGTACACCACACACGGAACTACCGCGGCCTCTCCGACCGATCGGGTGACGAGCCGACCTCTCATCGGCGTGTACCGACAATTTACAATTAACAACAACAATAACAACAACAACAACAACAACAACGGACGTAGAGCCGCGCGCCTGCCCCTGCGCTGTGTTTCGGCCCCCGGTCAGGGCCCCCGGTGCTCGTCCTTTCTCGGGGCGAGCCGCCCACAGTGTAACACCCCATCAACAACGCCCCCATCAACAACATCAACAACAACAACAACAACAAAACCTATGTTACAAGCTACGTCTTCTCCAGTCCGGATCTTCGCTCTGTACGTCCCACATGCTCGTTGCATCAACCAAAAAATAAACCAACAAAGACGGCCATGTGCCTGGTGCCGCATGGCTCGAGAGGGTCGCCTGTAACATTGGTCACAGCTGGGTCAGGGGCTAAGTTCTCACATCACTCGCTTCACTCGTCAGGAGAAGTGAGAGGGGAGTGTCAATAACTCGTGAGCGGCTGATTATTAGCGGCCCTTCCCAATTTCAACGATGAACACCCTCTGCCTTTGCTTTTGCCTTGCCCTGCCCTGCCTTGCCTTGTCGCATCCCGATGGCAGCATGACAGCCAGCACTCGCCTTCCGCCGGTCCTCATTGCGCCCACCGTTGGCTGACAAGCGTAGCCTGGGCTGGGGTTTCCGGCACCCCGGGGCCCATTTCCCGTTGGCTTTCCGGTCATGTCTAGGCTCTCGTTTCTCCTTTGCCCCATATCCCGAAAGCTTGGACGGCCATGGCCATGGTGGGCGGGTGGCGGCGGCGGGTCGAGACCGCTATCCATCCAACCAGCCCGATCCCGGCCCGGTTGGTCGTGTACCTAAAATTCCGTGGGCATTACCTTGGCGTGCGACCCAAATATCCCCAGCAGCCCTCTGCACCAACCACAACCATGATTCGGCCCGCGGTCATGCGTGCCAGTCGGGGCCTGGTCCGGCTCGTGGTCCGCGTGTGTCGCGCACTCCGCCGTCGCCGCCGCCGCCGTGACCTTGACCTTCAAGACCGCAACACAGCCACATTTGCTGCCAGCGTTTGCGTTGGTGCCGCTGCCGATGACGCTGACACTGGCGCTGGTGCCGGTGCTTTCGCTCATGCCCTTCCCGGCAAGCCGCCCTGACTCCTTCCCACCCTGGAACGACGGAGTCAGGGCCTCCGTCAAGCCGCAGCACCGCCGCAGCCGAGCAAGGCCCTCTAGAACCCTCTCCACCGCCGCCGTGTCGGGGTGAGACCGCCCCAGCACTCGCCGCCGACCCTCTAGGGCTCGCAGCCAAAGCGCCTCGGCTTCATCGTACCGGCTAAGGCACCTCGCCACCCCCGCAAGCGTGTTCACTGAGGAGAGCGTGTCCGGGTGATCGGGACCAAGCACCCGTTCACGGGCTTCCAGCGCCCGGCGACAAGCCTGCTCAGCCTTGTCGTACTTTCCTTGGCAGCGCAGCAGTACGGCAAGGTTGTTGAGCGACGCGAGCGTGTCCGGGTGATCGGCGCCAAGCAACCGCTGCCGGGCTTGCAGCGCGCGCACGCACCACGCGTCCGCCATGTCGTACATTCCCCTCCATCGCATCAGGCCCGCAAAGGCTGCGACGGAATGCAGTGTATCGGGGTGGTCGGGTCCCAGCACGCGCTCGCGGCCCTCTAGTGCGCGCCGCAGCAGCGGGGCGGCCTCCAGACCATGACCCGCGGCTGTCAGCACACCCGCCAGCGCGCTCACAGAGCTGAGCGTGTCGGGATGACGGGCTCCCAGCACGGCCTCTCGTTGCTCCAATACCGCCCGATGCATCGCGTCCGCATCGCCGTAGCGGCCCTGCGCCTTGCGCAGACCTGCTAGCAAATAACGTGACGTGAGCGTGTCCGGGTGATTAGCGCCCAGCAGCCGCACCCGGCCCTCCAACGCGCGCTCGTACAGCGGCGCCGCATCGTCGTACCGACCGCGAGCTTTCAACACACCAGCGAGCACACACGCGGACGCCAGCGTCTCCGGGTGGTCAACACCCAACGCCACCTCCCTGCCGTACAGCGCCCGCCGCGCCAGACGCTCCGCATTGCCATATGTGCCATGCGCCCTAGCGAGCGCCGCCAGGCCGTGCATCGAGGCTAGCGTCTCCGGGTGCTGCGGACCCAGGAGCCGCTCCTGGGCCGCCAGCGCTCGCGAGTACAGCGGTTCCGCCTGACGGAAGCGTCCCTGCGCCTTCAGCAGCCCGGCCAGGCTGCACATCGAGTTCAGGGTATCGGGGTGATCCTGTCCCAGCGCCCGCTCCCTCCCCTCCAACACCCGGCGGAAAAGCGGCTCCGCCGCATCGTACTTGCCACGTGCCATCAGCACTGACGCCAGCACGTCCACCGACGCCAACGCATCCGGGCTCTTCGGCCCAGAGCCACGCTCCCGCCCCTCCAGCGCCCGTGCCGCCATCGCCTCCGCCTCCGTGTACCGGCCCAGGCGCACCAGCACCGCTGCCAGCTCGCTGCGTGATGCCAGCGATTCAGGATGCTCCGGGCCCAGCGTCGCCTCGCGGCCAGCCAAAGCGCGCTCGTACAGTACGACAGCTTGTTCGTACTTGGCACGCGCTTTGAGCAAACCCGCGAGGCTGTTCACGCATGCGTACGTTTCCGGGTGCTGCGGGCCCAGCAGCGTCTCCCTGCCCTCTAGAGCTAGGGTCAGCAGCGGTTCCGCCTCCGCGTATTTCCCTTGTGCCTTCAGCACCCCCGCCAAGTTGTTCACTGCTCTGAAGGTGTCATGATGGTCTCGTCCGAGCACCCGCTCGCTTGTCGCGGCCGCCCGCCGGTACAGCGGCTCCGCCTCGTCCCACCTTCCCAACGCATCAAGCAGCGCCGACAGGCTGTTGAGGGGCCCCAGCGTGCGCGGGTCGTCGCGGCCCAGCAACCGCTCGCTGCATGCCAGGCTGCGCCGGTACAGCGGCTCCGCTGCACTGTACTCCCCCTGCGCCTCGTACAGGCTCGCCAGGTTGCCAACCGAGCACAGCGTGCACGGGTGGTCGGGCCCCAGGACGCGCTCGTAGCCCTCCAGTGCCCGCCGGTGCAGCGCCTCTGCCTCGGCATTCTTGCCCTCCAGCTGCAGCAGCACCGCCAGAGAGTGCACTGACGCCAGCGTCTCCTCATTCTCATTCCCCAGCACTCGTTGCCGGCCCTCCAGTGCCCGCCGCGCCAGCTGCTCCGCACGGCAGTACTTGCCCTGCGCTTTAAGCAGCGAAGAGAAGCCTGCCGCCGTCGCCAGCGTGTCCGGATGATCTGGCCCCAGCACCGCCTCCCGCCCCGCCAGTACCCGCCGGTACAGCGGCTCCGAATCCGCGTAGCGCCCCTGCGCCTCCAGCAGCCCGGCCAGGCCGTGAATGGCGGCCAGTGTGTCCGGGTGAGTGGGGCCCAAAGCCCGCTCGCGGCCGGCCAGGGACCGCTCGTACAGCGTCCGGGCATTGTTCAACCAGCCGTTCAGATGACACATGGTGGCCGCCAGGAAGAGCTTCCGACCCAGATCATCGCTCCAGGGAACACTGCTGCCGCCGTTCTCTTCCGTAGTGGCGTTGAATGACTGAACGATGCTGGTGTCGTCGTCGTCCTGGTCGTCGGTGGACTCGGTGGAAGTGGCGGCAGGCGCGGACGCGGGCAGCTGAGCCAGCGCGGCGCCAACGAGGCCGTTCTTGAGCTCCCGGGTCACGAGGTCCAGGGAGGCGCAGCCGGACGTGAGCTTGATGACGTCCAGCAGCAGCACGCGGTCGTCATTGCTGGTGGCCTGTGCCCGGCTAACGTCGAGTCCCGTGAAGGCCTACAGCGGAAGGCAGCAGGGGATAACAATGCGGCCAAACACTTTCCCGGGTCCCATGGACATGACCCAGCAGGCAAAAGCATATACCGTTACGCGCCAACAGATTTAACGTCCCCTTATCGGTTGTGTGGCAGGATATCCCCGGCACCGCCCTGCCAACACCCGTCTGCTAGAATTTGATATAATGGCCCTCCCCCTCGCTGGTCACCGCCCTCTTCCCCAAATCAGCCATCGCCCCCATGACGTCCCCATCGCGCACCTCCCGCAGTTGATGGTGCCCAACGTCACCCGCCAGCAGCCTCAGCCTGCCGGGCCCGGACCGGCACGCCTGCCATGCCTCGTACATGCACCACATCCGCTGCAGGACAGTGCTGTACGGGTCCATGACGAGCAGCGCCTCCTCTGCTTCCGCCAGGGCCTCCTGCAACACCGCTAGCGCTGAGGAGTGCTCCCCTGGCTCTATGTGGTGATTCTGTTGTTGCAAAACGGAAGTTAGGGTTACGGGATTTAGGGTTACGGGATTTAGGGTATGGGATTACGGGACGGGATTAGGGGTACGTGGACGTAAATATGCGTGTGGATGGCGGAGAACTCTGAGCAGAGAGGGAACGGGTGCCATACAGCTATGCAATACCGTTATGTAGTGGTATATGCACATGTGCGGTTGTGTGCCGGCAAACCGAGACTCGCCACTGCTATGACCAGCCGCTCCACCATAACGCCGCTGCCGGATCCTCAAGGCTCCCAGCACGAAAGCCAACAGGTATTTCTCAAAAGGCCGACGCACATGTACGCCGCCCCTTACGGCTGTTGCTACGGCAGTTGCTGAAATTTTGTGCGAGGGCGGCATTCTCGTTGCATCGCCATGGTTTGCTTGCATTGCTTGGCAGCAAGGGCCATAGCGACACCCACCGTGGCGAAGACGTCGAGCCAGAGGAAAATGTCATCGTCAGAGAGCGCCGGCAGCGCCTCACCGTCTGCCCGCCGCCGCCAAAGTCGCTGCTGCTCTGGTTCGAAATGGTGACACAGGCTGGCGAGGGTCTCCGCAAAGGGCCGTGAACGGGCATGGATGACGAAAAAATAGGGGCGGCCCTGGGAAACTGCAGCGCGCTCTGAGGCGTCCGCTGTGGTAAGCAGTAGCGCCGTTAAAGCGCATTTGTTATATGCCGTACGGGGTATGATATGCTCTGTGATCAGCTGTGCTGCTGTAAGGCCGCGCTGCAGTAGCCGGTGCTTGTCGGCGAAGCGTTTCAGCCAGGCCAGGGACATGGCTGACTGCATGGGAGTTCCGGAACGAGTAGGGCAGGCGAGGTAGGGCTTAAGGTGGTTGAAGCACTTTTGCTTTGGGCATTAGCTCCCTACTGTTGAGATTCCTTCTTACAATTGTAAAGATAATTAAACCCACTTTCCTCACCTTTGAAGGCTGACATTCGCTCAGTCTCATGGAGGCTTTCCTCGACGCCACAGCCGGAAGGGTGACACACTGCATTTGCACATAGCCGCAGCTGTCCATATGTATCCACGTTAAGGTGGCGTTCCGTCAGGTCAAGTCAAGGAACCGTCCCCTTTGCCTTCAACTGGCAAAAGGCAGGCCCATGGGCGCTCGATCCAAACATGAGGTACGCTCAAGATTCCAGTACTAATTGTTGTCTGCCTTTACATGCTGTGCTCGCGTGTCGAGGCGCCTTGTGGCGAACACGTCAGCGTTAAGCGTTTGGTAAATGCAGGAAAATGCCCCCGTCCAAGCATAGAATGCTATCCAGGAGAAAGTCAGGGTATACATGGTGGTCATGGCATTCTTGGGGCACCTGGCATCGTAGGCCAAGTGAGCGCACGCACACAGACCCACGTCAAGGCCCATCCATGGAAAGATGTTTCTATATGTATCACTTATTATACAATATTACTATGCAAAATATGTTGCGCGTCGTCAAGAGTCATCGTGCTGCAATACATGTGTTCGCGCAGTTCTCGTGCCCGGCTCGCTGTCGTCATAAGGCCCATGCTTCAGGAAACTCAACAGAATATGAAGGGAACCTGCTATATGCACTTTTTCCCGCTTCACCGAGCATACAGTAGATATCATTTGTATCTAGCAGGCAATGGCTTCACGCATCGGGACTGCTGGCAGAGCGTCAACAAGTCAGACTGAGGCAACGAAGCCGCTAAATCCATCAGGCCAAGAATAATAGCATGTGGAATCCTGCCCCTATTTATAAGAAAGAACTTCTTATCTATCCTATGGGATGTCCATCGCAGGCTTGCTGTTGCTGTACATACCTGGCAAACATGTTCCTCTTTCGAAAGTCCAGAAGGACTGGGTTGTCAGTTCAGACGATCAGCTGGAGCGGCGGGGCTACCAGTAGATGAATTGGCATAACGGCAGAGCTTCTTACATTTGAGCGCAATGCCTTTGTCCACATCCTACACGTGGGACGCAAAACACATACAACTCAGCAGCGCCTCAAGTTGCGTGCATCAAACGTCATGACATCGCCATATGGCCGCGACAGGGCCCTACGGCAACTCCAAACCAGTACCAGGACACGCGTGTACGCTGGACACGCAAGATAGAGAAGTTCGGCCCTCCGTGTGGCAAGCTGAACCCTCAACGAAACGAATCAACACCGCTCATGGAAAACGAAATACCTGCGTTATGGAACAGTCAAGCGCCGCTGGATCCTTTGCTCGAACACCCAGGGACCCCTGAAGGGGTCATAACTCATAAGCGTCCGCATACATCCAGCACACCGGCGACATCACACGCCCATTCAAGCCCTCCAAAGCTGCATGCAAGCCGAGCCCCTGTTGCTCTATGATAACCTGGCCTCAAATGAACATGAAATGCATTGGTGCTTGGTCGCAGAGGCTGCAAGGGCCCGCAGGCATATCAACCAACTCCTATGTTCTGCCGCTTCCCATGCCCCATTACGAAATAAGGCCATTCACACGGCTCAACCATGCTCGCCTACGAGATTACGAAAAGGACATTCTCATCCATTCCCCCTCTCGCACAGTACCATTCTCTCCCTCTCCGCTACTAGAGCTCTGCTGGTGACTCACTGGTTAACTGGTTAACACTCACTCCCCATTACATGGCTAAACATGGTCCCTGACTACAGCTGGCAGATACCCCACGTCCACATGGCTACTACCACACCGCCAGTCCATTACAGCGGCCCTACCACACTTTACTCCTACTAAGACCTGTGACTTCTCAAAGTATCCAAAACCAAAGCTGAAGGCGGCAAAGGCCAGCAAAGGCCAGGGCTTTGCCGCCCGAAGAAGGGAGCTTACGTGCGGGGATACATAGTCGTGCTCAGACCCACCCCGGCGCTGCTCATCGCTGACCCACATGAACTAAAGACATCCACGCAGGAGCGCGTGCTGCTAAACACGCTGAGCATAAGCGCATGCTACGCACACATCGCGCTGTGCACAGGTTGAGACCACACGTTCGACGAAGATCCAACCTCGGCTAGTCCGCCGGTTCTGCGCGCAGCCTACTCACGGGCAAACACTGACGAGGAAACCACACCACGCCGAATCATGTTCCCTCACGAGCCATGCCAGTTCGGCATGCAATGAGTTTCAGCGCCAAGCGCGCGGGTCAACCCGACGGTGATGGAATTGGTCCTGTGATGGGACCCGCCGCGGCACCGCCTCCCGCACCCTCGTTCGTCCAGATGCGGCCCAGCTGGAAGGGGCCGCCACCGCCGCCGCCTCGTACTGCGCGGCTTTCCCTAGCGCGTTTCTGGCAATTGCTGAAGTCAGGGCCCGGAGGACCGTCCGGAGCGCCCATGAGGCGAGATAGAGAGGCACTGTCAAGGTACTGCACCCGTCCATCGTTGCCCGCCTGGGTGGCAGAAGTGGTGGTTGCACCGGCAGCGAAAGTGCCGGCAGTAGCTGGCGCCGCCGGTGCTGAAGCTAGAGGCACCACCTGCTGTGTGTCCTGCGTCGCGGCAGCACCGAAAGGCAGCACGGGTTTGCTGCTCGCCGACAAAGTTCTGGCGCCATTACCGCCTGGGGTTGCCGTTGTCCCGCTGGTCCCGGCTACAGCCGCGTCTGAGGCGGCAGCCGTCGCCATTGCAGTCCCTGAAGCGGATGATGCGGCTGTCGTATTTGCCTGAGGCGCCGCGCTCGAAGGCCGTAGCTTCGGTTGTTGCGAAGTCACCACCGCGACCGTGGCAGGATGGGCAACAAGCCCTAAACCCTCATCTGGACCCCAGTTACCGCCTAAGGCAACCGTGGGTTGCGAAGCTGCAGAAGCAGCGGCCGCCCCTGACGCTGCTGTGGTTGAAACCCCAAACAGGGGATCGGGACCTCGAAGAGGTGCTGTGGAGGATGACGCGGCGAGCAGAGCGGCGGCGGGTGCCCTTGAAACCCGCGGCCGCTGTATCAAACCCACATCCGGCGCCCTCCCGCTGCCGGCTGCAGCGCCGCTGCCTACTGGGCTTGGGTCCTCCATATCTGCGGCTAGCTCGTCGGTCCACCGGCCACCCCCTTCGCCCCCAGGAGCCCCGCCATCATCGCCGCCGCCAGGACCGTCCCCGCGTCCCCGGCCACGACTCGTGACTCGCGAGCCGTTGCCATTTCCGCTGGAACTCCTACTGGGGTTTCTGCTGCCATTGCTAATACTCGTGTTGCCGTAACTTCTGCTTTGTGAATTGCAGCTGGTGGCACCTGCTACCGTTAATGCTACTGATGCCGCCGCGCCAGGCTCCACAAGCACTCGTTCCACCTCCTGCAACCGCTGGAGTGGGCCAGCCTCGGCGCCATTGCCGACACCGTTCGCAGCGCCCAGATCCGCGACTGTGTTCATCCCCCCGCCATCGCCCAGAATACTCAAGCTCATGCCCACGCCCGCCCCGGCCCCGTTCAGCAGCGAACCGCAAGCCGCCCCCGCCGACAGCACACCGCCCACAGCAGGAATTAGATCTGGAGATATGGCTATGGTGCCATGGGGCGCCGCCGGCGCACTGTCAATATCCGCGGCCGCCAGCCGCTCGAGGGCGTCCCAGCCTTTCACATCCTGAACGAACAGCCCGCTGCCACTTGCCGCGGCCGCTGAGTAGCTGTTGCCACTGCTGCCAGTTGCTGTTGTAATTCCACTGGTAATTGCACTCACATCCACCGCACCCGCCGCAAACAAGCCTATTCCCGCCGGCTCCGAAACCGCGGTCTCCAAGCTCGGAAGCTCTGCGGCTACTTCAACTGAAGCAATGACCTCAGCCTCAGGCACAGGCACTGGCTGCGCCGTGCTCAAAGCCGGCGTCGCGGTAACGGCTATATCCACACCGGCGGCACCGACAGCTTCACCTGCGACAGCTGGTTGCTGGTCCGCAGTCAGCACCCGCTGCGGTGCCCCCTGCACCGGCTGCTGATGATGCGGCGCCAGCTCAGGAGTGGCCACCGCTAGCTCCAGCTGCTGCACCTGCTGGGCTGTCTGGGGCTGTATCGCCCGCATAGAGGCCTCTGCAGCGCAGATTTGGATGATCTCATCGAGCCAGGAGCCGTGCGGGGTTAGTTCGGGCAGGCGGTCGAAGATCAGGGCCAGCTGAGCAGAGCCAAACGAGTCCAGCTTGGAGTACGCGGCCATGATGAACGCGTAAAGCCAGGATGCCTGCGGGATGGATATCAAGAAAGAGCAGTTAACCAACAGGTTTGAAGTAATCTTAAGCAAGGACGGCGCGTGAGCAACAGCAAGAGGCCACCAAAAGCAGGCGAGCCTTCAAGCGCTGCGGGCAGTGCCCCTAGGGCAGTCGGGGTTTTCCCCGGAGACCCCCAATAAGCGCAGCTGCCTGTAGCCGGCCTAAGCTACCTCGCCGCGGAGCTGTACCTGCACATGCCCAGTCCTGGTGCTATCTACGTGCGAAATTTTTCCAAAAATGCACACCAGCACAGCACCATCATTCCGTTCGCAGGCTCCTCCTGATTCGCCCAGTTCCCAACGTGTCTCCTTGCATGCGTGCCTAATTCCCGCGCTTCCCGACCATGCATGCACGCGCAAATAACCCATCCACATGCTCCAAGGCTCACCTGCGGCCGGAAGCCCACCTTCACCAGCGCCTCCAGCGCCCGGCACAGCTCCTCCGCGCTGTTCTCTGCCAACTTCGCGTTCGACTGCTTCTCGTACGCTTCCAGCCACGCCGATGACGGCACGTACCCTAGCTCCACAAGAGCCGCCAGCGCTAAGCTCTGCTGCCCCGCCGGCATCAGCGCCAGCTTGCTGCCCATGTGTCGTGCCAGCTCCCCCAGCCACAAGGCCTGCGGCCTGCGGCCCAGCTTTGACAACGCCACAGCCATCGTGCAGCACTGCTCCGGAGTTTGAAACGGCAGGCGCTGGAAGGAGGCAGTAAAGTACTGTTGCATCCAGAGCTCTGGGGGTCGGAAGCGCAGACGAGCAAGCGTGTCCAGAACGTCAGTGAGCTCTTCTGCAGTGGCCTCCCCAAGGCTGCGCCGCGTACCCAGGAGCAGCAGTGTGAGCCACTCGCCCGCGGGCTTGCATTGGAGATGGGATAACGAGGACAGAAGGACGGCGGCCTGCACCAGCAACAATGTTGACAGCGGCAGCAGCTGCTTAATGGGCACGAGGAATGAGCATGTGCGAGAAGGTGGCAAAGGACTGTGAGGAGGGCTAGTGGTAGATATTCACGCTTCCGTGCTTAATGCAGGGCCTTGGAACCTTTGTGCCTTGCATAACACCATTTTGCGCAGCGACTCATCGGTGCTGCTGCGCAAAACTGTTTTATGTAAACCTCCTTGACTCCCGTCAAATCCTGTTTGAACCCCTTCCCTGAAAGGAACAGCAACCCATGCCTGCCCGAACCCGGCTAAATCCCGGGCCAAATACACCCCTCGCGCTTTAGGGCATCTACCGAAAACATCCGCGCCGACTCACCAAGCGCCCGGTCAAACCCCCCGTCGTGCCCACGTGAGCCGCCGCGCAGGAGTAAAACCTCTCCAGCCAGAGCTCCCCCGGACTGCAACGCAATCTCGCCAGAGACGCCACCGTCGAGACAAGCTCCCACGCTGAATAGTCGGCCAGCTGCCGCTCGCTAGCTGCCAGATATTCTGCCATCCAGGCGCCCCCGGGGATGTGCTTCATAGCTGCCAGCCCAGCTGCAAGCGCCCGCAGCTGTGGAGGAGTGCACGTCGTTAATCGTGGTAGCATGGCGGTGCACGCTGCCCGCAGCCAGCCGACCGGCGGTGTCGCGCCGAAAGCGCCTAGATATGAGATGAGCAGGGGCAGCCGGCCGCGAGGCGAGGCCGCAAAAGTGGTTAGGTGCGGTTCAGTGGCTTGCACGACAGCGGCACGCCAGGCTGCTGACGGACGATGACCCATGGCGCCGAAGGCCGCAATTAAAGTGTAGAGGCCATCAGCTTCCATACCGGCCTGTGCGTCCTGTTGTTGCTGTTGCGTATCCGATTGGCGATCCAATTGCTGCTGCGATTGCTTCAGCTTATGCGCACCTGTCCCTGCTTTCACTGCTGTCCCTGCTGTCCCTGTAGAATCTAACCGTGCAGGAAGGCTGTTGCTGCTACTGCTGCCACGCTGTCGAGTTCCCGAAGCCTCTTTCCTAGCCACTGCCTTAGGTGCTCGCGTCCGATGGCCCGCCTTCATGAGTTTCAGTGAGCGCTGCTCCAGCCGCCACAGCATTGATGCGTCCTGGTACCGTAGCCTTGACAGGGCGCGTGCCGCCTCCGCCACATCCCGTCCGTCTAATTTGTGGCAGGCGTGCGACAGGATCGCCACCAAGCCCGAAACCATGGACACTACGAGGCGGCGGGGCGGCAGCGGCTGCTGGTCTTGCTGTTGCTGAACTGCCTGGTTACCACTCTTGCTGACACCAAATGATTGCTGCACTTGCATCGCGCTACCAAGCTCTTGCTGCTCTTCTTGTTGCAGCTGCAGCTGCTGTCCTGCGGCAACCTGCGGCCTGCGCTGACTGCTTTTTTGCGGTAATAGCAGCTTTTGCTGGGACCGAACGCCTTGCGGAGGGGAGTCCGGTGCCGACTCTGACGTGGAGGCCTCGTAGTTGCTTTCCCGACGTTCAGCGTCCTCGTCCTGGTCGCCGTGCAGAGGCGGCTGCGCGACCTCCTGGCCCTGAAGGACACGAAGCCTGCCCGTTAACTGAGGTGTGAATTGAAGCTCGCCGGGTTGCTCCTGCGTCCTCTGGCCGTCTTCCAGGGAAACCCCGTTCAGTTGAGGGTCAAGGTCTCCGGAAGGGGGAAACGAGGTCACATCTACCAAGCGGTTGAGTGCCGTGTGCGCCTGGAATGCGTTGAAGTCAGAGCCGTGGAGCTGATAAAGGTTCAGGAGCTGAGCAGGGCTGCTGCAAGCCCGGATTGACGCTGTAAGCTCGGCAGCAGCAAGCGAAGCAGTGGCAGGGCTGCCTCTTTGTCCCTTGCACTGCTGAGGCGTGCTTACAGGTGTCTGCACATATAAAGTTACCAGATGACGTTTAGGGGAGTCATATAACTCGGATGGGCATCGAGCCAGGCGAGCAATCCACCTACTACACGCACCTTGCGCTTCGACGACCGATACTCTGACAAAGAAACCACCAGCAGCGAACGCTGTCGATTTAATTGTGCGTGGCATCGCTGGCTGGCGGACCGGCGCGTCAAGGCACTTAAGCACCGATGAAGCGGTGTTGCGACCCTTGCACGATGGCTCCCACAAAGCTGCAGGCAATATCGCCATGTAAGATACACCATAACTGCAACCAAATCGTATGAATTTGTATGGTATTCCTTACCTGTCCCTGAGGTCTAGAGACAGCCATCAGAGTCACGGCCGTCGCTGCAGTGTCAGCGACTGCTTGGCCGTGACAAACTGTAGAGTATCCAGTGTAGCCTGGATGAGACGGATCTGCTCAAAGCCCACTGTGGAAGACTCCCGTCCGTCGGCGGAACCGTCGCGAATTCAACGAGTATAGATCAGGGCACAGTATTTCGAAATAGAGTATGCATTCTTATGTTCCAAGGCGCTGCATGTAGAAGGCTCAGGCGAAAGCTTCGCTATGCAAGCAAGTCGACTCGGTCTTCCTACAACGCCCTGATGGCTCGAGTGTAATCGTCCATGAACAGTTTTGCAACAACCTGTATATTAGAGTCAGATGTGTAAACTGTGTATCATGCCAGAGCTACGTACACGAAATCGAGATTGGGGACGAGATTACTGCAATTGCGTCCCGCATAGCCTTGGCGCCCCGATAGATAAATACCGGAATGTAAGTAAAGTGTGATCTTCATAGTGTTACAATGAATATGGCCCTTCCCGTGCACCGATTCCGGAGCATCAACACCTCGGCCTCTGGACGCTGTCGAAACCTACTTTGATTTCCACCCTGTCCACCCAGGCCGCAAAGTCCTTACATTCTGCACTGGCACATGCCACCTGTAACAACCGTTCTGGACGCTGGGTAGTCAGACGGTCAATCTTCCGTGCTGGTGTACGAACCTCGCACGCACTTGAACTGCTACTACGCCAGCGGCTCGATGGAGCAACAAAACTAATCAACTCGACGAGCCCTTCTCTGTAGATCATCGCTGGGTCCCAGTGGATGCAGCTGCCTTCCGTGCCCCGCCCCCTCCAGACTCCTTAAGCTTCTCTAGCTTCAACCGTGCGCGCCACTTGCGCGCCTGAACGAATTTCTCAATCAGCTGTCCGCCCTTGCGCACCAAAATGAACCGGTTAGAGCCCTTGTTGCGCCGCCGCGTGCGCGTGCCCTTGGTGTATACGCCCCATGGCGTGCATGAAGGCCGACCTCCATTGGTGCGGCCGCCGTGCGGGTGATCGACGGGGTTCATTGCAATGCCGCGTACGCTGGGCCGCCAGCCGCGCTTACGCCGTTCTCCCGCCTTACCCAGATTGACCAGATTCTGCAGGTGGTTACTCACGAGGCCGACCGTAGCACGGCAGTCCAGGTGGATCAGCCGGATCTCGGCTGTAAAAGAACCACGGGTCGGCAGTCAACAGGAGCGAGAACATTAAGACCCAATTATTTAGATGACTTAAGACACGTATAACTTAGATAGGAACAAAACAGACATGGAGAGATATTGTCACTTGCACTTGCGGATCACAATCCGCTCTCAGCATAAATTCTGGACCATGGGGGCTGTGTTAGGCCAGGAACCCCCCCTACCCCCGCCCGCGCCAACTACCATCCTGCAGGAGCATGCCCTGTTAACTCTTGTGTGCAGTTTTTTTCCTTCATCAACCTCCCGTCGTCCCGTGCTATCACTTACTCGACGGCAGCTTCACCACGGCATAGTGCTCCTGTTTGCTCTGGATGACCGCATTCGTGGATGCGGCACGGGCCAGCCGCGCGCCGTCTCCGGGTTTGAGCTCCAGGCCATGGATGGGCACCCCGATGGGAATCTCCCGCAAAGGTAGTTCGTTGCCAGGCTTCACCGGGGCGCCAGGGCCGGACATGATCACATCCCCGGGCTTGAGCTCCGCCGGTGCAAGGTGATAGCGCAGGAATGGAAGCTCGCCCTCTGCATGTCAGGCCGTGCAGAATGGCGAAGGTGAGGCGAGTAAGGAAAAGATAGCTGGGCTGACAAATTCGCTGAACACGGGGATGCAGGCTGCTGATATCGCAAGCAGTGTTGCAGGCTGCTGCCGAGTGCCCTGGACACGGAGCTTCCCTGCCGGAGCTTCCCTGCCGGAGCTTCCCTGCCGAGTGCCCTGGACACGGAGCTTCGCTTGGGATGTGGGTGATACGACTGTACGTGCCATTTGACAGGAGCCATTGGCACAGCCTCATCCGTTGGGGTCGGTGGACACATCCATCATAAACGATAGCGAGACAGCGAAGAAACATTCGGAAAATGTAAAGACTTCGGACTGACAATAATGCCAAGCTGTCATGAAAAGCAGATTCCATCATGATGTTGCGCGGGCGGGCTCTGACTGGGAAAACCAAGCGAAAACACAACCTCTGCATGCACCCAGAACGCACGTTCCCCAGGGCGCAACGGAAATTTCAATTACCCCGCCAGGCCCTTTCCATTTTGAAACCTCCGTCCTTTGCCGGCCGGCCGTACGTTCCCCAAGCATCCCAAGCATCAATCTTGGCGAAGACATAAATTTCAGAGCTAAGCAAGGGCCACAACGCGATTTCTTCTCCATCTCCATGTCCACCGATTGTGGAACTGTGGAACCAATTCCCACCCATCACCATATGCGGCAGTTTGACGACTGGGATGGTAATGGAGCGGCGCTCTTCCTCGGTGAAGTCGGGGTTTTAGTCACGTCCCTTTTGGCACCTCACTTTCGGGGGCGCCGAGTTTCCCAGTGCCCAGTGCTCAAGTCCTTACCGCCCACCCGTACACGAGCCCCACCTGGCGAGTATTTGACCAACACGAGGAACCCAGATCGATTGGGGTCCAGTTCCACCCGCTGTACCGTGCCGGGAAGCCCGTCCAGCTTGCGGCGGTCGAACTCCACCTCTCGAAGCACCTTGGGCGGGCCGCCACCGCGGTGGCGTGTCGTGATGCGGCCCGTGTTGTTGCGGCCGCCAGTCTTGCCGACACGGCGTGACAGCGCCGCTGTGGGCGGGCCAGTGTAGACACCCAGCGACTCGTAGTCGATGGTAATTTTATGGCGGAGGCCCGGGGTGGTGGGTTTCCAGTAGATCAAGCCTGAAAGGTACAGGGAGGGAGGGTGGGGTGGTTTTGTGATTTGAGAGGTGGGGTTGTGACTTGGGGTGACTTGGGGTTGAGTTGCATGCCATGAACGCTGCATGGGTCCAAATTGAACAGTCTGACGCACCTGGCAAGGGTGCCGCTTTCTTGAACTTGTACGTGTACTTGCTCCTAATAAGCTGCAGCAGGTGGCCTCCGCCTGCTGTAGCGGTGGGCGGGTGTTAGGGGTCTTGGCAGAAATGTGCAGTGGGCTGGAGCAGCAATCAAGAATTTTGGAGTGTATCGCCCACCTGATTGCAGCGCCTCATAGCCAGAAGCGGAAAGAGATCCGCTCGTGCTCGGTTGTGCCGCTTCCTACATCACCCGCCCCGTAGACCATCAGCACCAAACATTAACCTCAGCCGCCCACAATCCCCATCATCGGCGTAATGTATCCTACCAGAAGGGTACACGTCTGCTTCGTCAGCAAGCTGGCGCATGACTGCGCCAAGCGTCGAAACATGCCCACTCCGAAGCAACGCGTTGCAAGCTTTCAGGATTATCTATAAAGCACGTATCTTAAGTGCATGCGACTTTGGAAATTATGTAAGATTGCCACCTCTGGACGTGCCCTAGGTGCGGGCCTGTTATGCGTAGCTTCAACAAATGAGTAATAAAAGTTGCATGGGCAGATAAGAAGCGCAGGCCTTAAGACAGGGTTACTGTGTGTGAAGCTACGTGAGATTGCATTCGGCATTCCAGCTCGCTCGTACAAACGGTTGATAAAAGTAGCCAGTCCTAAACTTACAGGTGTGTGCTGTAAAGGCAATGTCATACCTCCCAGCGATTTAGGGTTATCGCTTCGCGCGACTTCATCTTTAACTATACAGAGTCGTCCAACAGCTTTGACAGTAAACCACGCCGGGCTGCCGTAAGTCAAAATTTTCTGCATTACGTCTACTTATCAACACCAACTAGGAAGCAGTAATGGAGGATACCAAAAAGAATGCGTACACGATCCTCGAGCTGCAGCCCGGTCCCGACGTGGACGACACCATCATTAAAAAGGTTATACAGAACGATCTTTGGGGAACGGTCTGACCTACAAGACGTGTGCTTGGGATACAATGGGTCTGCCCACTGTCACCCCTTGTGACCGTCCACTTCTCCCCGCATACAGCATACCTGCTCTCTGCTGCCGCCCTTTCCCGTGAAATCCACCCGTACAGGCTTATCGTAGGCTTGCAATACTTAAGCACCCTGATAAAAACCGTGATAACCCAAATGCTGGTAAGGTGATGGATAGGGTGTAAGGAAGATCAAGCCCTTGGCACATTATATAACCCAAAATGCATGTGTTCATATCCATATCGTGCTCACTTCATCCCTGCGGCCTGTGCCCGTATCCGCCAACTGTATAACCCTGGAACCGTGGCCTCAGAAGTCACACTTCCTCCCCCCAGTGAAGGTTGTTTGTTGCGAAAATGGGGTCATAAGGTTTACGGTGGGCTCTAGCGCTCATTTTGTCTATGCATGCGAGCTGCCTTAAGAATGCAGAGAACTATAGGCGCGCTTCGCCACTCGTGGCCTGCTTGCTGTTCCGCAGCTTGCTGTCCCCTGGCATGTCCTGATTTGCGCCTGCATGCGCTGATGCTCACCACAACCCCCTACTTCAACTATGTGTATGTGCTCCATGCAGCTGAGGAGTTCGCGGAGCTGGAGCAGGCGTATCGGCTGCTCCTCGACAAGGACGCAAGGGGTGCATTGGATGACCTGCTCAGGTGGGTCAGTGACCCGTGGGTCGTCCTCATTGAGAATCCTTGCGGACGGGTGGACGGTTTCAACCTCCGTGCGTCGATGCCAGCACCAACTTTTGTGGAAATGTCATGGATATGAAAAACAAAACAAAGGCCGATAGCTGCTACGCTGCACGCGTCTGATAACCAGCGGCGGTGGCAGTGGAAGTAGTGCGTGCCCTGTGAGGGTATAGCAGCGTGCGCGATGATGGGCATGATATCATCACGGCAGTGTGCTGAGTTAAGCCCCAAACGCAAACTTCGGCACGATGTGGGTCAGACCAGCGCAGCGTAATGCTTGTGGTGGTATGCTACTTTCTACCCGGCAAGGCTGATGCGGACTGCAGCAGCAACAATCGGACAATACGTTGCTTCCGAAACATGTGCTTCATCGCCGCAGGGCTCAGGCTCAGCGGGCGGCACGAGAGTCCCAGGTCAGCGACAAGCGGCGGAAGCTGAAGGAGGAGCTGGAGCGGCGGGAACGGCAGGTAGCCGGGGCTGTGGATTTGCATTGATTGTTGTAGGGCAACAAGCCTGGTCGGGGCCCCTTGCGCTGGGTAATGTCTAGTACGGGATGAGGCCGGCCGGACAGTGGCGCCTGTAGGCAGGGGCTGTCGTTAGGGTGGACAGCCAGGCTCAGGGGGACGGGTGGAGCAAATTGAACCACTTTAAGACCCTGGCAGGCGGTGGAGCTTCCATGTCTGTGTACATGGGGATGGATGTGCCCAGACGCTTGCCTTGTCCGTATTAACGATATAAAGATCAACATACTTATCATGCGTGATCATGTGGTGGATGAAGTGGTGGACAGGCGTGCTAGGAGGCCGATGCTTTGAGCGTTTCGTTGTGTTCGCAGTGCGTGCACTGCATTCCGCACCGTACTCACATAGGGGTCCCTCTTGCGTCCCATTTCGTGACACATGTCCCTTTCCGCTGGGGCCCCGACCGCAATCCGCAGACGGCCGGCGAGCGCAGCGAGGAGGAGATCGCGCGGCAGCGGCTCAAGGTCGGTGCGGACAGCCTGATCTGGTTTAGGGTTGCTAGTCCGCTCACCAAGGGCCGGGACGAACTTTCTGAAGTTCTGAGCGCGCTCTTTCCCACATACGCACTGCGGGCCTGGTCCGGGCCTCCCGCGCCGTGAGAGGGCTCGGCTAATGGGTCGGCGCCTGCCTTGAATCTGCCTCAGTTCAGAGCTGAAGCATCATTGTGTGGGGTAGCGACTTTCTGTGCTAGCGGGTATGGTACGGGATGTTGCGGGGTGGTAGGCCTAGGCGCTGCGATGTTCAGGACCCCAGTGATCTCTTGGGTATGTTAAGACCTCAGCCGTTTGCTGAGGCTCCACCAGCACTCGGCGCCTGGGGAAGGAAGTAGATTATCAAGGCGGTTGCCCTTGTGTCGCGGTTTCAAACAGGTGGAGCTTGAGCGGCTACGACGCAAGGCTGAGGAGGAGGAACGGAGGCAGCGACAGCAAACCGCGGAGCTTTCTGCAGCCATATCAGCGCAGCGAGCAGCGGCAGCGGCAGTTGGGGCTGGCTGCGGTGGCTTAAGTACGTCGTACGGCAATGGTGGCGATGGTGGCGACGCCGCATCGGCAGCAATGCAGGCACAGCTGCGGCGAACGCTGAAGGTGGGTGGGAGCGGTCACAACTAAATGCCTCCGTTTGACAGCAGTGACTTGCAAAGCGGTTTGCCTAGCTGCCACCCATGTACGTGAACACAGCCACCCTGCTATCTTTCTGGCCGAGCCGAAAGCGATGCATGCCTGTGGTGAAGCATACCGTCCGGGGGAGGTTATCATCATATGTACGTCATGTAAAATATGTACTTCTTTTGTTTTGGCCATCGTTCAAACGACGGCGTCCCTACCTGGCGATCCGACTGTCACGAATATTCCTTTGTGGGAGCCAGGGCCGGCACGCTCATACAGGCCGATAGGCCTACGTAGGCCTTCTTCTTCCCCTAAAGGGGACGGAGACGACGAAGGAGAGACTTTGGTTCATCCCCTTTAGGGCGTGCCGGCCATGGCTGTATACAGCGCCATACCTGCAGCAGGTGCCAGCCGCCAGGTGCCAGGTGTTGCAGCGGTTTGGAGCCGTGCTGAGGACCCCCTTCTATTGTGGGTCCCGTTTCGAGCCGCGGTTGTATACGGCAGGTGTATGTACACCAGTGCCCCGCCCCCCCCCATCCATTCGCCCACCTGCAGGTGACGTGGGATCCCTCGTGTCGCGAGTATAGCACTGAGGAGCTGCGGTCTATCTTCAGCGGATTCGGAGCCCCCGTACAAGACGTAGTGCTCCGAGACCGAAAGAAGAAGCGCAAAGCGACGGCGCTGGTGGTCATGGCGACGGAGGCGGCTGCGGTGGCGGCGGCAGGCAGCGTGTGTGGGGACGCCAGCGAGCCGCTGTTGGTGGTACCGCTGGTAGGGGACCTGGCGGCAGATGAGGATGCGCAGCTTGAAGGGCCGCCGGCGGCGGGCAGCGACGGAAGCTCGGCTCGGCCAGACGAGGGCCTGTTGCCTCGGGGTGGCGGTGCTGCATTCCCTGTGGCGGGGGTGTCTGGTGCCGCGGCAGGACCAGGTTCACAGTCGCTGCTTCAGCGGCCAGCGCGGTTGCCGGACCCACCTCCGGGGTCCTCTGCGCGGCCTTTGTTCCCTTCCGTAGGGCTAGGGGCAGCGGGAGCGGGCAGCAAGGCTGCGTTTCCTGTTACCGGTGGTGGCGGACTTTTCCCATCTGCAGCAGCGTCAGCGGCGGCCAATGTGGCTGGGTTGGCAGGAACGGGGAGACCAGCGGCAGCATTTCCGTCAGCAATGGCAGCAGCGTCGGGGAGAGGTGCGCCTGCTTTTGGCAGCTGGCGGATGGGGGCCGGTGGGACCGGCAGTGAGGCATCTGGGCACGGCAACGGGGGTGGCGGGGGCAGTAGCTTCGAGGATGAGGTGCTGGAGAAGATGCGGCGGGCGGCGGCTGCTCGGCAGGGGACAGCAGCCGCAGTGTCTGGGAAGGAGGGGACGGACTGATGTTTTTTAACTGCGTTCATGGCAACAGACAATTCGAGTGGAAAGACACACAGTGCGCTGTAATGACCGATCGGGATGGGTGGTGGCTTGCCTACGTTGGGCTTGGATGTGTATCGCTGAGGAGCTGGGGTGTGGGTGGATCTAGCGACTTACAAACAGTTACACAATGGGTCAGACGCTCCTAGGCAAGCGGAGGTGCTGGATGCATAAGTGTATAGGGCCCTTGAGCCAGCATATAGAAATGGGTGTTTCCTAGTTCCCTTTCATGATGAGGTTCAGTAGGGTCCAGTAGAGGCCGCTGACCACTCTCTGTTAAGCCCTTGACTAGTGCTACAAAGTAACACAGTGATTAAGTACTTCCCAACGAGTTCCCGTGGCGTCTTTGCATATGAAGCGCGAAGATTGGCACAAAACCTTTGACTTCTCTGTACAGAAAACGCCCTTAGTAGGCGCAGCAGCAGCAGGTTTTTTAATGTGGTATTGGCAGATTCCTATATGGCAGCTGCCCCTTCGTGTGGGTTTGAAGCGCACATGTGCGACTAAGTGCAGCTAGGAGGGCTGACACGGCACCGGGTCATCGGGTGATGGCTGGTCTCGCCGGGTGAGGGCTGGATGCTTTCCGGAGTTGAAAGAGTGTTTGCACCACCGTTCATGAGGGCAGCTACAAGCTATTGCCAGGTGTGCGCACTCCTGCTCCCTGAACCTGGCTTCCCTGCAAATTCCCACGCACGTAATAAACAGATCCCACGCAATGCTCCTAGATGCCCTACCGGAGTCAAGGCAAGAACCTTCCACGCACTGGATACCGGGCTAAAAGGCGGCACGCGACTAGTAACTGGAGATACCAGACACGCAAAAAGGAACGCGACCGCTAGACAATTGGGAAGCGTAACCTCACTTTACTTGCCAAGAAAACTGGCTGTATGCCAAGAGAATCGGGATTTCCAAACTCAACTTAGGCTTACAATGTCAATAATTGGTCTGCTAAAAAGTCAAGATATCAATTAACAACATCATATGCCATACACCTGAGTCCTAGCTCCGCTAGCTCCGAAGTCACGACAAGATTAAACACGAGGTTCGTCAACTAACTGTGAAACATTAAAGCGTTTGTGTGGCTATTGCCGCCGCTACCAACGATTATAATTGCCCTGCGTTTTCATGGACTAGTAACCTCTTGGTGCTAATATATATATATCATGCCAGCACTCCACGCGTAGGATCGCGCGCTGAACAACAAAAGCAAGATAAGCTGAGCAATTTATCATGCGCTTAAAAGAAGGCCTTGAGGACACGGTCCGTTTTGAAACAGTTAGCTTAACAGTTGTGCGCTGGGCCTTGCGTCTAACGAACCCAGCTTGTTCGACGCACGTTCGCAATAAACCTGGAACGACCGCTGTCCTTTGTATTCCGGCTCTATTACCGATCAGTTGGTTTACGATTAACTGGAAGCGATAAATTCTGTCTGCATACTGACTAAATGTGTACGCCTGCCCCTGTTATGCAAAATTTCCTTGTCCAGTCTGGGAAGTGGGAACTTTGTACAGAACTAGATGTCAAAACGTAGCTTGATACTCATATTGCTGACAGCTTGCGGGCTGATAGCCTGCGGTCGATCTGTCAGCGCCATACGTGGCCATGTCGTGGGAAAGAAGGCCACGCGTCATCATCCATATCGATCTTGATGCCTTCTACTGTAAGCATGGCCAACCTTTCTCTAGTGCATATACATAGCCATGGTACCAGGTTGTCCGAGTTTGCAACGCAGGCCAAGTTGAGCAAAAGCGGCACTGCATTCCCCGGGTGGTACCCTGCGCGGTGCAGCAATGGTACGCTGGGGCTTGCGCAGTCCACCCGCACCCTCTCAGCCTTACCTACCTCCTTGCGGGGTCTCAGCAACGTTCGCCCTTTGCCTCATCCCCAGGGAAGGCTTAATCGCGGTCAACTATGCGGCGCGCGCTGCGGGTGTAACTCGGCACATGCGGGTAGCGGAAGCCAAGAAAATCTGTCCGCAACTCCGAACGGTCCACGTGGAGACCATCGGTGGGTGAGACAAAGGCGGCCATGCTACAACCATCACAGGCGTCACAGCGTGTATCGTTCGTGCTCCAAGTAATGAAATTGGCACATTTCCTGGTGACGGGATAACTTCCTTCAGTTTCATTCACGCCACCAGCACAAGTACCAGCGTTAGGAAGCCAAGAGGAAAAGACTGCTAGTCAATAGTTGTTGAGCTCTGGGTACGGCTGGCGTTACATAGCTCTTGTTGCCCAGAAGAATCGCCAGCTGAAAATCCCGTGGACGGAAGAAGCGCTGCGCATTGTCCTTCAGCTAACACACGAAAACAAGGTGTGGAGTGTAGTCAAGAGGGGAATTCGGACTGTGAGGGCTGAAAGTTCAGGTCCACGCAGGCTTTCCGCACGGCAGCAGCTCTCAACCACTGCTGATCGTGTTTTTAACCCTGCGGACAACGAA